CCTCCAAAAACATACAGGCATCCGTTGATGATGGCCATGGCCTGCCAGAAAAAACCAGTTAGGAAGGATTTAGGGCAACTGGGACTGGAAAAAAAGGGAATTTTTGCTTTTCCAAAGCACCAGGAAAAGGGGTCAGCCCTGCTGGGAGGGTGAATCCGTTGCTTTGTGCATCTCGTTCACCCATTTTATGGAAAGTCTTAAAAGGGGTAAAAAAAATAAGAGCTACAAATTTTCATTTGGAGGTTTGGGTTTTGAAGATTTTAATATCAAGCATTCCTTAAATCACTTTTGCATTTAGAATTTTGGGTTTAGAAGGCTTTGGCTACCACTCCTGAAATCATTTTTCCATTTTCTTTCAGAGTTTTGGGTTTTGAAGATTTTACTACCAATCACTCCTGAAATAATTTTTCATTTTCATTCAGTGTTTTGGGTTTTGAAGGTTTCGGGTACCAACCACTCCTTAAATCACTTTTTCATTTTCATTTAAAATTTTAGGTTTAGAAGGTTTTGGCTACCAACTATTCCTAAAATCACATTTTCATTTAGAATGTTGGATTTTGAAGGCTTTGGCTACCACTCCTCAAATCACTTTTCTATTTTCATTTAGAGTTTTGGGTTTTGAAGATTTTACTACCAACCACTCCTGAAATCACTTTTATTTTCATTCAGACTTTTGGGTTTTGAAGGCCTTGGCTACTACTCCTGAAATCACTTTTCCATTTTCTTTCAGAGTTTTGGGTTTTGAAGATTTTACTATCAACCACTCCTGAAATCACTTTTCATTTTCATTCAGCCTTTTGGGTTTTGAAGATTTTACTGCCAATCACCCCTGAAATCACTTTTTCATTTTCATTAAAAATTTTGAGTTTTGAAGGCTTTGGCTACCAACTGTTCCTTAAATCACTTTTTCATTTTCATTCAGAGTTTTGGGTTTTGAAGATTTTACTACCTACCACCCCTTAAATCACTTTTTCATTTAGAGTTTCATTTTTTTTAAGGCTTTGGCTACTAACCACTCCTTAAATCACTTTTCTATTTTCATTTAGAAGTTTTGGGTTTTGAAGATTTTACTATCAACCACTCCTGAAATCACTTTTCATTTTCATTCAGCCTTTTGGGTTTTGAAGATTTTACTGCCTACCACTCCTTAAATCCCTTTTCTATTTTCATTTAGAGTTTTGGGTTTTGAAGGTTTTGGGTACCAACCACTCCTTAAATCACTTTTTCATTCAGAGTTTCATTTTTTTAAGGCTTTGGCTACCAACCACTCCTTAAATCACTTTTTCATCACTTTTGTACCAAATGAACAAATTTCCCCTTTTCTAACTAAGAAAAAACCTCCTTTCCTTCCAAATCTCCAAGAACCAAAGCCGCGCTATTTTTTTATGAAAGATGTTTGCTTTTCCTTGTGTTTTTATGCAGACAAAACAACTCTGGTGAGGAGAAGAGATGAAATTTTGGGGTTTTGGGCTCCCCACCTGGCCGTAGATGCGGTTGGGTTTTTTGCCACGGCAGCTGAGCAGGGCCCATCTCTTGTATTTCACGTTGCACACGTGGACGTCGTTCCCGTTGCTCTCTCCTTAGAGTTTCATTTTTTTAAGGCTTTGGCTACCAACCACTCCTGAAATCACTTTTTCATTTAGAATTTCATTTTTTTNATTTTGGGGTTTTGGGCTCCCCACCTGGCCGTAGATGCGGTTGGGTTTTTTGCCACGGCAGCTGAGCAGGGCCCATCTCTTGTATTTCACGTTGCACACGTGGACGTCGTTCCCGTTGCTCTCTCCTTAGAGTTTCATTTTTTTAAGGCTTTGGCTACCAACCACTCCTGAAATCACTTTTTCATTTAGAATTTCATTTTTTTAAGGCTTTGGCTACCAACCACTCCTGAAATCACTTTTTCATTTTCACTTAAAATTTTAGGTTTAGAAGGCTTTGGCTACCAACCACTCCTTAAATCACTTCTTCATTCAGAGTCTTTCTTGGGTTTTTAAGATTTTACTACCAACCACTCCTTAAATCACTTCTTCATTTTCATTAAAAATTTTGAGTTTTGAAGGCTTTGGCTACCAACCACTCCTTAAATCATTTTTATTCTCAGTCTACCTTTTGGGTTTTGAAGACTTTGGCTACCAACCACTCCTTAAATCACTTTTCTATTCAGAATTTTGGGTTTTTAAGATTTTACTACCAATCACTCCTGAAATCACTTTTCTATTCAGAATTTTGGGTTTTTAAGATTTTACTACCAGCTACTCCTTAAATCACATTTTCATTTAGAGTTTCATTTTTTGAAGGCTTTGGCTACCAACCACTCCTTAAATCACTTCTTCATTTTCATTAAAAATTTTGAGTTTTTAAGGCTTTGGCTACCAACTGTTCCTTAAATCACTTTTTCATTTTCATTCAGAGTTTTGGGTTTCAAAGATTTTACTACCAATCACTCCTTAAATCACTTTTTCATTTAGTTTCATTTTTTTTAAGGCTTTGGCTACCAACCACTCCTGAAATCACTTTTTCATTCAGAGTTTTAGATTTTGAAGGCTTTGGCTACCAACCACTCCTTAAATCACTTCTTCATTCAGAGTTTTGGGTTTTGAAGGCTTTGATTACCAACCACTTCTTAAATCACTTTTTCATTTTCATTAAAAATTTTGAGTTTTGAAGGCTTTGATTATCAACTGTTCCTTAAATCACTTTTATTTTCATTCAGACTTTTGGGTTTTGAAGATTTTGCTACCAACCACTCCTGAAATCACTTTTTCATTTAGAATTTCATTTTTTTAAGGCTTTGCCTACCAACCACTCCTTAAATCACTTTTTCATTCAGCTGTACCAAATGAACAAATTTCCCCCTTTCTAACTAAGGAAAAAACCTCCTTTCCTTCGAAATCTCCAAGAACCAAAGCCGCGCTATTTTTTTATGAACAACACTCGCTTTTCCTTGTGTTTTTATGCAGACAAAACAACTCTGGTGAGGGGAAGAGATGAA